TGCGGATCGTTTATAACCTTTTCTCACAGCAGCTGGAATAATTAAATGTATCATTTTGATGGCGGATTGTAATCCAGAAAGGATTATATGAAACACATGTGAATGAAATTAAATTATATTCCAGTTTTAAATGGGCTTCTGTTTACAGATAGCCTGGGATTACACAAGATTTATATTTTAAAGAAAACCAGTTCGAAGAGAGCATAGTTTGCTTTTTGGGTTAAAAGAATTTCTTAATATGAAATTCGAAGAGTATGACGATTAGAGATTAGATTAGATTGTGCAGAAATTGAAATCTACACGCTAATACACACTATAGTCAATGCTGATGTTGTTAACATTAATAATCTGAGAATAAAGTATAACAATAATAATAATTTGCACGGTTTGATGTGATATGAGCTAATCGATCGTTATATTAAATCACCATTTGTAGCACGATTTATTGTAATGCTTTTTTCCTCAGTTGGTCAAAACAAATGTGGCAGACTTGTTACTGACTTGTTCAGATGACAATATCCAGTGAAAATTCTTATTTGGGTCATATATTCCAAGACGTAGGCTAGAATCTGTGATTACTAAGTATAGGATTCACACCTGTGCAGTGACTGACTGCCACACACACACACTCCTCAAAACATTAGGTTAATCCGCGCCAGAGCTGTGCCGACTCACAACCCACGCAAGGAAGATAACTCCGCAAGTAACTGCAATTCCAGGTTTTCAAACAGAGAGGGCGACAAAGAGGTAAAACTTATGGACTGCAGCTTTAACAAGGACAATACACTTGACCTATTAGGCAGACAAAATTCTTGTGTTTGCATAATAACCTCTAGTTTTTTTCTATTAATTCAATTTATTTGTGTTTTGATCTTAAACTGATACAAGTACTGTACAAATACTGAACAATTACTGTAAGTAATGTATAAGAGTGTATGTTTTTAGTACATTTTGTCAAACTGCTGCAAACCTGTGCAGGAAAATAAGAAGATAAGAACTGAGGAACAAAATAGCGTTCTAATGTTGTTTAAGATTATTATTATTATTTTTTAAATTTTTCACATTACCGTCAACTAAATATGTGACCCTGGACCACAAAACCAGTCTTAAGTAGCACAGGTATATTTGTAGCAATAGCGAAAAATACATTGTATGGGTAAAAATTATCGATTTTTTTTATGCCAAAAATCATTAGGATATTAAGTAAAAATCATGTTCTATTAGGGCTGGACAATAATTCAATATCAATATGTATCGCAATATAATTTTTTTCAATAACGGTGATATGATTTTTAAACACATTTCCGATATTTCGATAT